ACACAAGAGGACTAAAAGCTGAACACTACAAGAAGTAACTCTTGACCCAGAGAGACACATAAAGGATGTACAAATTATCCCACTAGGCAGCAACTCGCTAAGGTGTTCTTGCAAGACCTAGATTTCAGGGTCCGAGGCCATGCAATTCTATTTTATATTGTCCCCTCTGAACATAATGGCTGTCCCCAGCCATGGGGAAAGAACATGTTCCACCTCGGCTAGGAACTCCTCCTTACAAATAATTAGAAAGTCCCAGAAATCTAAGCCATCAGATTTTAATTTGGCAGGTCTCAGCAGCAGTACAACTCCAAGGAAGTGTTTCATCTTTTCTACAGGCCTTGGTCCACAAAGTAACTGGAAGGGCTGCTGAGGTACCGGTACCTGCACGCTACCTAAGAACAGGGCTGAGCAGTGATCTGTTCTGCTCAAGGCCACGATTCCCTGCGTGCCTCAGGGATCCAGGCCTGCAACACGGGCAGTATCCACCTCCTCGCTCATCTCCACTCCACTTTCAGAAAATTCTGGTCTAAACTACACATAACAAGGTATAGAAAACCTAGATACTCAAGCTCCATGGGCCCAGTCCACTGGAGTACCATGTACTTCTGGAAACTGGATGCCCACAGAGGAGACCTCCCAAAATCATCCATCCGTCTGGCCACTGGCTGCCATTCTGGCAGCATCTTGGCAATGTGCCCTACCCAGTGCTCAGATACTCCCTCAGCTGGTGCTTGAGCAGCAAGCAGCACTGCCTCAGTAATGACAGTAATCTCCCCAAGGGTATCGACATCTACTTTTCAGGGTGATCAAAGGAGGCTCTGAACTCAGAGCAGGGCTGTCCAACTACATTTATGATGTCAGCCAGGGTCTACACTTTTCCTTTCTGGAATGAGGTCTAACTTTTTCAAAGAAAGCTTTACTGACAGGAATGGATTTTTATCACTTTTGAAGCCTTCCTCTCTGCATCCCTGGCACCAGTTGGCAAGAAAAGCTCTCTTCCAGGATGCTCCTGAGCCTTGGAAAAGAACCCCTGACAACAGTCCTTTCAGTCACTCATCTGGTCTCTTCTCGGAGGGCAGCTTCATCCCTACCTTTGGACCACTTTCCGGACTTGGGCCCCAGGTCTTTGGGCTCCTGCCCTCCTTCTCGCCTCCTCTTCCTGTCCCTACTTCCTTACATCTGCCTCACCAAAAGTCCTAGACCTCCTACTTTCTCTCACAACAGAAAAGGTTCAGTGGCTAATGATTTGGGCTTTGGGTTTCAATGAGCTACAGGGAAGAGAGACGTTTTCATTTGGTCCTGGGGAAAACTGCTCTTTGTGTGACCTGGCCTAATGACTTCTAATGGAGAAAAAATAGAAGACAAAAGAAGCTGTGTCTGATTTTCCTTTGACCAGAAATTACCACAATGACCACGAAGGGCAACAAAAATTATCAAGGGAATGACGTCAAGTTTTCTTCCAACTCTGAGAAGGGTAATTGCATGTGTTATTAAAGAAATAAAGGATGGCACAGATAGATACTCCTCAGCTTTCCTTCGGCCAAGTCTTCCCACAAAAACCACCTACGGACTCTGTCATGGCTCGGTATGTCTTGGCTCCACAACTTGCTACAGGATTGTGGCTGATCTCAGACTGATCTGTAAAAATATGGGTAATGATGTCTACAACATTGTGCTGTGATAATTAAAGAACATAATAAATGTGAAAGTACCTATCAAGAGTGCCCACAACATAGTTGAGGCTAAATAAATATTAGTTTCCTTATTTCCTTTATTTTAATGAGTAGATGACACATTAATTATTTGCCAAGAATGTCATTTCACAGGCAGATGCTTCCAGAGACCTGATGATCTAATCTCCCTGTAATTAGGACTCCTCCTCTGTTCAAAGTCAAGCACTGCTTTTATACCTCCATATGTCTCCTGCCCCTTCCTGCTCCTACCCCATCAGTGATTCCCTCTTGACCGTTCATCCACAGGATTGTTTTAAAATAAACCTGACCTTGGTGAGACGTACTCACAGTTTGGACTCCCCTACTATTCTTCCTGCTCTTAGACAGCAGATGCAAACACCCGAGTAATTATGGGACAGAACAGGATCTGCTTCAGTGATGACTCCTGCACGAATACTACACACAAGGCATAAGTTTATCTTATCTGCCTAGTAAATGTGTAAACATATATATGCACAATCACATTAAGAATCATGATAGTTTGGTAGGTTCAACACTGGACTTGCAGGCAAAAGGCCCAAGTTCAAATTCTTGCTCTGATACTAACCAGCGATGTGACCACACGTAGTTCATTCTCATCAGCCTCAATTCACTCATATATAAAATGGGGACAGCAACACATGCTCTTAGTCACACAGATGCACACTCTCACCCCCAGATCAGGGGGAGCTCAGTGCCTCCATGCTCATTCCATCCTCTGGAAGGAGAGCATGACATGAGTGACTGAAGAAAGTGGAGTCTTTTCAGGACACAGGTTCTTAGAGAGAGGGGAAAGGCACTATAAATGCAAGAGGTAAGATTTACGTACTCTTTTCTGCATAATCTGCCTTTCTATTTCCTCCCTTTGGCAGACTCTACTGGATCTGTCTTCCTCAAATGGCCAGTCTTTCATCACTGGGCCGGGGACTCCTCCCACCCTGTGGTCAAGCAGGAACTGGGTGGGGAAGGTACGTGCAACAAGCACAGGAGCCTTGGGTCGGATGAGCTCTGATGCTTAGTGAGGTTTGTTCTCATTTACTAAACCTGCTTCCTCCTGCTGCTGCAGCAGGAAGAGCCAAAGGGACAGAAGCCAGGTCTGGGCCTAGGAGAAAAAGGAGCAGAGTCTGGAAAGCTCACACCACCCTCAAAAGAAACACTTAAAGTCCCATGTGGCCCAGCCTAGCTAACTAAAGGAAGAAGGCAGACTGGGTCTGAAGACCTACACAGAAAGAAAAAAGTGGGTTTTAGCAGAGCTGTCCTCAATGATGTTGGGATGGGAGGAGTCACAGCAGTTGGCAGGTCAAAATGTTACGGATTTGGGATGCTGGCTATTTTATACCTGGGTCACAACCCACAACTTGTACTGTTTGGGAAAAGAGAGTCTTCACAGGAGAGACAGGAAGCTCAAAGTCCAACAGCAACTGCCTTCTTGCAGCCAAAGAATCATACGGATATGACGAGAATCCTAAACTTGAATAAAAACCAAAACCAAACCCATTGCCGTCGAGTCGATTCAGACTCATAGCAACCCTACAGGACAGAGAAAAACTGCCCCCCATAGGGTTTCCAAGGCTGTAAATCTTTACAGAAGCAGACTGCTACATCTTTCTCCCGCACAGCAGCTGGTAGGTTTGAAACGTCAACCTTTTGGTTAGCAGCTGAGCGCTTAAGCACTGTGTCCCTAGGGCACCTTAAAATTGGATAGGATCTGGTAATTAGAGTCCAGTATTAACAGAGCTCGAAATTCATCCCACCCACTCTCAAAAAGGGCCGGGGAAAGGCTACAACAAACTATGCAGAACTCCGGTGAGCAGGCTTTTGACTTGGTGGTACTGGCACTAGTGGCTGATACAGTTGTTTCTGGAAACACGTGCTATTAATGGCTGATATCAAAATGGGCCAGCGGTCTCGGCAAACACTCCCGTCTTCCAGGTACCCCAGAGGGAAATGTGCACAGGACGGAACTAGAAATGCAGACCACACAGACACTCTGTTACAGCAGGCTGTGACTCCAGAAGCCAGGCTACAGCACACAGAGAACTCCCTTCCACATCTCAGTGGCAGCCTTGAGCTTGAGACCAAAGGAAGTACTGGCTTGAATAGGAATTCACAAAACACTGCACCTGAGTCTTAGGTCTAATGAAGAGGGCCAGCCAAGGACAGCCAAGTCAGCACAGAAGAGAATGGAGCCAGAAAGAGGAAGAGAAGAGAGAACATTTGCCTCTGTGCCAAGGTATACTTGCCCCAGGCCTCCAAACAGGACATTGGCCTGGAGCCAATCTAGCACATGGAAGGCGGAAAGGGGAGAACTGGTCAGGTGCTTTCCATTCAGCAGCCCCAGACTCACCATTCAGCCCATTTAAAGCCAGGAAAGAGGAAAGATACCACGCCCCCACAGGGGCTACCCTTTTAACTGGGCACAGTAACTAGACACACTGCAATGGAGGCCACGGAAACGGCCTTAACTTCAGAGACAATTCTCCCCGACATGTGGGGGCCCTGAAAAGTCACCGAGGGCTGTGGGGAAACGCTGAGAAGCTGCGTGCCCCCGCTGCAGGCCAACAGAGATGAGACAATGTTGTTCTGTTCCTTCTCCGCCTTCCCAGCTATGCATGGAAACGATGTAAAAGTTTCCCGTGTACGTGAATCACAGGCACCCACACTGCACGTGCAACTAGAGCATTTTGGATTCCAGCAACGACCAAGTAAAGATGAGTAAATACCTGTCCTAATAAGGTATATGTTGTCTTCTTGAGTTGAGCTGAAGAGGAGAAAAAAATTATTAAAAAAGATTCCAGGTCCAAAGGCTCAAAAGAAAATGAAGGGGAAAATGCTGGCGCTGGGAACACCATGGCTCTGAGAATCAAGTCCACCCAGAGACTGAAGAGAAGCCATAATCCCCAGGTGAGAAGACTTCCAGGAACTCATTTAAAGGAGAAAGCTGTTGTTCAGGCCTCAGAAAAACACCAGAAACTTGATGATCAAAATCAGCTTTAAAAATAACTAAATAAAAGTGTTGCTATCTCAGGGTGGACAGGATCAATGGCATGAGATCAGGACTGAGGTAAGGCACTCAGGGTGGTATAGGAAAACAGAGATGAAGGTTGTCCAAGGTCTACAGAATCCAAGAGCCAGATAAAGGCAAGATTTTAAGGGAGAACACACAGTAGGGAAGCTTTTCTTCCTCACTGAGCCCCAAAGGGCACATGCTGAGAAAAACCTCTAGAGACTGCTTAGGTTGGGGGATTCTCCATCCACGACAAATGGTCAAACAAGGGGAAAACTTACCACAGTGACAGAAGTCAAAACCCCAAGACATTCCAGGAGAATAGGCAGAGGCAGGGCCCACACTGGCTGAAGGACTACAGAAGCCTTAGGATCCTAGTGGGGTGAAGAAATGCAGAGAGAAAAGTAGAAGATTTGTATCATGGAGACTTTAGGATCACAAACGTTTTCTGAAGAACTGGTTACTATAAATGTGGGGTCATAGCTCAGAAGACAGGGTGGACCCACTTACATTTTTCCTTTTTAGGATTCAAGACATATAGGGACAAAGAGGGGATGGGACAATCTGAGAAACCCTGGAAAGGAAAACCTAGGCAGTTTGTACAACTTCCCTCCAAGATAGAGGACCCCTAATATCATAATTGGCCTCTTGACAGGAACTTTATCAAGTTTATACGTAGTGGATGCCGGATTTGCTAGAATGCTAGTACAGAGTCTAAAATCAATGATGTTTTTTCTCTTACTTTTCAGTAATGAGGAGGGACAGAGGGACGGAAGAACACAGACTGGAGTCAGACTGGATGAGTTCATACCCACGTTATCTACATACTAGCTGTGTAACCTTAACCTAAGAGGTTAAGAATGAGATAATGGAGATAGTAAAGGCATCTAACCTTATAAGGCAACCTTATAAGGTAGTTGAAAGAGCAAATGAATTAATGTACAACAAGTACTCAAAATAGCACCTGGCAAATGGTAAGGGCTCAATAAAGATTAACTATCATTATTCATCTACTGCTTCCCCCCTCTGCTACATCCTACAATTGCTAATAGTAGTTTGGGTATGGACTTCAAAGTCCATTTTAAGTGTGGGGAATACTGCTTTTTCTTGGAAAGTGTTATGATACATTAAGGGACTTAAATTATCAAACTGCTGCCAGCTTTACATGTGGATGGGACATTGAGTTGTTTGTGAATCTGGGGATGGTGCTGATTACATCAGTTTCAGCAGAAATCACTCACATGAGAAGTGGAATCCCACAGATTACCCTGAGTAACCCTGCACTTTCAAGGGCTTAACACAATAGGAAGAAAATGGAAAAGTAAAAATGCTTTCTCCATGGGAACAAAGGGTTGACTTAGAATGGAGGCTGTTCACAGGACAGATTTTAGAGGGCAGGAATACATCTGGAGGAATTTCAAATGGTTTTGGTAATGGGCCAGGTTTTCTCCTCCTTACTGAACTACACATGCCAATCAAGATGCGTGCTTTCAAGGGTGGGCCCAGGCCACCATGGACCACATGACCACTCGGTCCCACCCACCAGCACATTAGGCCAAGTGCAGACATCTGACCCAAGAGCTTCACAGTGATCTACGATGCTGTGTACTTAAAAACCCACTGCTGCTGAGTTGATTCCAACTCATAGCGACCCTACAGGACAGAGAAGAATTGCCCCATAGGGTTTCCAAGGAGCAGCTAGTGGATTCTAACTGCCGACCTTTTGGTTAGCAGTTGAGCTCTTAACCACTACGCCACCAGGGCTCCTATGTGGCTTGAAACAATAATAAAAGAACAACAAAATTCAATTCCACCTCAGAAATCTAAACAAACACTGAGAGAAGGAGGTGATTAGCCGTGAGAGACGAAGCTGAAAGGTTATGATGTACAAGGAGCCTGGAGAGGTCATAAGAAATAAAAGCTGTAAGCACAAAGAAGCTCTAAGGAGTAAGGAGAGAATAAACCAGACGGCAGCAAGAGGAGAAAGGCACACAAAGATCAGCAGAGATGGCGTGAGAGACCCCGCTACCTGTGAGGAGACTGGGTGGCTTGTCTCTGCCTGTGCTCCTGCCACAGTTCCCCAGCCCGTGCACATCCTTGTAACAAACCCCTTTTCTTCAAAATGCTCTGAATGGATTCCTGAACCTTGCAACAAAACACTCCTAACTAAAAGTTACTTCAGCTTCCCTTAGGACAATCTTTCCCAGGAGGGCCTCAGTGCCTCACACAAACAGATCCCTGGCACGTCCACCCAGGCCAGGCATGCCCCGCCAGGCATGCCCCACCCGGCTCAGCCACCGCCCGACTCCAGCAGGACAGGGGAGCTTCATCCCTTCAGCACTAGAGGTATGGTCCATGAGGCTTCTGAGCATCTCCAGGGCCTATGAAAACATTTGCGATGTGGGGGAAAAAAAAAAAATTACTGGATGCAATAAATGGAAAGAAAACTACAAAGCTGACTGACTAGTTGTATTGTCTACTACTAGTCAAATGAAGCTTAACTCATATGGTTCTGTACAAGCTCACTTCACTGAGTGGACATGGGTGTATTTTTAACCTGTTTGATAGGACATGGCAAAAGCCTCCACAGGTAGGAGTGCTGAAAGCCTTCAAAGATCTTAACACCAGTCCCGCAGCAGTGGGCATGTCTGGGCTTAAGCTGGGACCTGCCCACCCCTTGCCTCAATTTACATTTTAATGAGCAATCAGGAGTTAGAAATCAATCCCCACCTCCCCAATCTAAAATAACATACCGTTATCTTAGCACTTCTGACATTAGGACTCTAGTATCTTTTCTCAATGAAATATTTTAAACAGGTGAAGCCAAATAACTTCTACTAGTCATCCCCACTGGTCTTATCAAAAGGAAAAAATAAATTGTTATTCATGACAACAAATGGTTCCATACATTTATAGGATTTAGTTTTTGGCATCTGTCTGAATAATAAAATGTTGGTCACACCTATGATCTCATTCCTTGTGCCAGATCCCCCGCGAGTGTCATGAACAGACCCAAACTTCCACTTGGTCAGACTCTCAGTATGTGAGACAAATAGGAGGTGGCACACAAAACTTCAATCTTACATCCTTAGATGATGACGTTAAAAAAAAAAAAGCGAATTTGATTAATTCTCTATCATCTTTGCTGATTACAGGTCTAACTTCACATGCATAAGCAACCTTCCATTTGTTCTCGGGCGCCATCTCTGATCCACCGAGCTCTGATCAATTTGCTCCTCCCACTTCACTGCCAACCCCTCTGCACATCTATGCCTTCTGTTCTACCTCCTACACACCCATCCCTTTTCTGCTTACCCCCTCTCCCAGCACTTCTACAAAACTGTTCCCATTAATGGGATCTCCTCCTTGTCAAATCCCAAGGCCTTTCTTCAGGTCTCATCTCTTACTCCTAAGTCAGAAACCACTAACGCCTTCTTAGACCCTAGTTTCTTCAGGTCTCCCAGGCTCCCAGCTGACCACACTTTCCCTGTTCTCCTCTCAGCTTTCTGAGTGCGCTTATCATTTCTTTGCTCCTACTTCCTAAATACAGGTATCCTCTGATATGCTACGTCCACACTCCACTGTTTAGCTCAACTACCTCCTTGGCTTGAAGGGTCGCCTCCATGATGATAACGCCACATCATCCCATAACTAGTCGTGTGTCCTTGCCTGTATTTCCAACTGCCTAAAGGAGTATTTCCCTCTCATTCCAGGGTTAACTGAAAACTTCTATTTCGCCATTATTCAAAGTTCCTGTAAAAGGCAACATCTTCCCTCAACAAGTCTCCCAGACCAGGAATTTTAAAACCAACTTTCCCTTCCACCCACCCACCCCCTCCTCATCCCCTCACACATCTTTCAACTCTGTTCTCTCTCTGTACGTGTTTTTCCCATCAGCATTTAAACACAATCCAAGTCTCTCCTATCTTAAGGGAAAACGCTACTTAATTGTATGCCTTCTCTAGCTGCCATATATTCTTCTGATCCCCTTTTCCTCATCCAGGTTTCTTAGTTTTCCCTCTTCACTGCTTTACCTCCCATTCACTCCTCATCCCACCACCACACCACTGAAGATTTCTACCTGACTTGGTCATACCGACCACACTCCGCTGGCTCCTCTGTGACCCTACTTTCCAGGATGTGAACCCTGTATTCCCAGTTGGCCCAGCAAGTCCTGTTCCTCTGTAAATACTGGTACTCCCCTGGGTTCCTCCTTTGCTCTCCTCTGTTCCCAATTTACACCCACACCAGTTTCACCATCTAGTCTACCGGATCTCAACTCTGGTTGTTAAAGAAAGTCTTTCCTAGGAATCTGGGTTTTCGCTGCTTGCAATGCCTCCAGAAGGCACTCACATACCTGCTCAGAAACCTTCATGAATACTACACCAAAGTATTAGAACTTGACTTTCACAGTGGATTGATTACCACCTCTAACTAGCTGCCAAGCATCATGAAAACATACAACTTGCTTTGTGCAGGTTCCCTGATGCTAACTTGGAATCTGGGGGCTTAGCAAAAAGTCTTAGCTAATCCTATGATAATACAGAGAAACAGTAATAAGTTACTGAATATTGGTTAACTGAAATACCTGACAAGTTTTCTAGTTGATGGTGAATACTTTAAATCAGTGCAACAGTCTTAAATCCTTCAGGCTCCATCCTATACATATTTGAGCTATACATCTAGATGGACATAAGGGATTTACTCTGCAGAAGAAAAGCAGTATTCCAATTATTTTTATGGATCATTGTATCATTCACCTAAGAGGCAAAATTTATAAACTTTGGGAAAGAGGTTTGCTCTGGCTACAGCAAGGGCTCCCTCACAAGATCTTGTCATGATACCATAAAATGTGCTGCAAAGTAACATGTGGTAATGACCTATGATTATTTTATGAACTTGCAAGGGCATGAAAAATAAATGAGGTCTAGAATAGCTTTACTGAATTTCTCATATCAGGTGACACAAGAGTCACTGAATATTCCAGAGCATTAGAATAAAGTTGTGGAAATGCTTTATTGTTAGAAAGTCACATAAATTACTGCTTTTTAAAAATAAAACTTTGGATGCTTCTGATAGATCTCCTGAGCTAGATTCATTTTTTTTAAAATCTCTCTTCTTCCTTTTCTGTACAAATGAGTATCTGCTGCAGCCACTGACAATCTACCTTGTGAATCTTCCACTTGGAGTAGGTGTGGTTAATACTCTAAACCTAGGCTAAAGGGCTTCAATTTGCCAAATCTCGTTTGGTTCCTTATCCCTTTTTCACATCTCTGAACCATCTGAAACTACTGTCCCTGCCTAGTCTTGAAACTTTCCTCTAGCTTCCAGGATACCACTCTCTCATAATCACCTTCTTCTGCATCCACCTCACGACTCCTGCACACTCTTAAATGGATCTGCTCCCACGGTCCCTGCAACAGTGAATCAAATAGTGGAGAATGTGGGGTCTAAGCTGGGTCTTCTGATTCTCTTCCCTGGGAACTGGGAAGACTGGGGTCTATAAAGCGAGCTGTCGGTTGTAGTGGCTACTTGGGGGTCACGTGTGTTACATATGGCAGAGAAATCCTGCCGACAGAGAGGAGCAGAAACACAGGGCAGACAAGCAGTGAGAGGGAGAGGCAGGAGAGACAATGGCAGAGGGCACGCTCCTGCCCACTTTCCAGACGCCAGTGGCCCCAGCACGTGGTGCAGTCCTCAGAAACCCCCTTCACGTACGCCATCTCAAATGGGTTTTCTTGCAGTCAAATGTGCTCTGGTTAAGACATTCTCCCTCCTCTCTAATGAATCCTCCGTCACCTCTGCAGGCATGTTCCTCCCTATCCTCCCTTCAATGTTCATGAGCCCCAGGTTCTGCTTTCAGCCTCTTCTCATTTTGCTCTACTTGTTCTCACCCACTCCCAAGGCTTCCACTACCAGCTATGTGGCAAAAACCTCAAATCTACAACTATCCTTCTAAAGGCCGGTGGGCAGGGTCACGTGGATGCAGGCCCAGCGCATCTCTCTGCCTAGTTCATGGCCAACTAGTCAGTAGTACTCTGAGAATAAGATGACTGACAAGAGGACCACCAATCACCTTCAGCGAAACCCCCACCTCCTGCTCAGAGGTAGAGCCTAGTCCAGGGAGCCCCAAAGACAAGGACAATATTACCCAAACTCAGGGTCAATGAGTGTTAAATAATTCCACGTGGAAGACATCAACAATCCAGTCTAAGCTGGACAGATATGCCAATCTGAAATAATGTAGACATGTACAATCACATTCCAGGGAAGATGAACCATGTAGAAACCTTGATTTTAATAATGGATCTGTGCACAGCACACGGTCATTAACACAACAACATGTATTTGCATTATCCTTTGCAAGTCCTCTTCAAGAAGCATCCACATGGCTTACATGCCTTCACACTCAGCACAGCCAAAACAGAATATGCCATCTTCTCACCAAAACCAGCTCCTCCTACTGTATTCCCAAATACAATAAACATTCAAATGCATTCCAAAAGCACCACTCAAAAAATGTTTACATCTTAGTATACATTTCAGAATATGCTTTAATATTTCATAGAGCAAATCTATTTCAAAAAAGTGCACACCTATTAGCCACGCAGCTAACATATGTCCTAGATATAATGTACTTCGTAGAGTTAAATGTTCATTATCAATTTAATACACATAATCCAGAAAAATATAAAAAAGCAGATTTTTTAAATCATCAAATACACCACCAGCTAAAGTCCACAATTCTTTTCACTTAATTTCTTTTAGACATTTCTCCATTCATAGGCTTTATTGGCAGGTTAGGATTTTTGTTAACAGTTTAATCACATCAAGTATGCTCTTCTGTATCCTGATTTTCTTATACTAAAGCATTTTAATACATTTCAATTCATTTTTAATGGCCATGTAATATCCTATCCAGTGAATGTATAACTAACTTAACCATTCTGTAACTGCAGCTTTAAAAATAATTCAAAGCTTTTTTTCTGTATTGAAAAATATTTCTTTAAGATGGTTCTCTAGATAGCTACATTAAAAAAAGGAACATGAATATTGGTAAAGCTCTTGATACATACGACCAATGTAATGCAAGCGTGTGCCATTTTTACCACATCCTCATAACTACAAGGTGCTATACTTTTTGAGAGTCTACATTTAGATCTTTACCAAATTGATAGGTAACAAATTTTAACATCTTAATCACAAAAGTAAACGGAACAATGCAAAAGCCTGTGAAATAAAAAAATCAAGAGTCTCTCTTAAGCTCCTGCCCTAGAGGCACCCACAATTAAATGGGGCTGCCTTGGATCTCCTTCTAGACAATTTTCTATTTTTACTCAGAACACACACACACACACACACACACTATTTTGTTTTGTAACTTCCAAAAATGGGATTAAACTTTTTTCTGGCTCAATAATACATTCCAGACATGCATCCAGTCTATGTCAGTAACACAAACCTACATCTCTTTTTAAAAGCTACATAATATCCCACAGAAGTACCAAAATTTCTTTATGTATCGTTATCTTCACTTTTTCCTCATTATATATGATACTGCAATAGACTTCATTCACACTAACTTGTGTACACCTATGAGAATATCACAGAGTCCTTGAAGTGCACCTGCTAGGCCAAAGCATAGGTGCATTTTTTTTTTTTTTAATTGTACTTTAGATGAAGGTTTACAGAACAAACTAGCTTCTCATCAAACAGTACACATTGTTTTATGACATTGGTTAACAACCCCATGACATGTTCACACTCTCCTTTCTCGACCTTGGGTTTCCTATTACAAGCTTTCCTGTCCCCTCCTGCCTTCTCGTCCTTGCCCCTGGGCTGGTGTGCCCCTTTAGCATCGTTTTGTTTTATGGGCCTGTCTAATCTTTGGCTGAAGGGTGGACCTCGGGAGTGACTTCATTACTGAGCTAAAAAGGTTTCTGGGGGCCATACCCTCAGTGTTTCTCCAGTCTCTGTCAAACCAGTAAGTCTGGTTTTTTTTTTTTTTTTTTGATAGCTTCTGCCAAACTGCTACCCAAAAAGGTTAAATCAATTGTACGTTTCCAACAATGTACTGTTTTCTCTACATCCTTTAATTAAAAAAAAAATTTTGCCTGATAACCCTCTCCCTCACACCAAAATCTACTTGTTTTAATTTCCATTTCCCTAATCACAAGTGAGGTTGAACCTCTTCATTGCTTTGACGCTTTCATTTCTCTAAGAACTACTCAAATCCTTGATTCATTTTTTACTTGCGTTAATTCTAGTCAGCCTTTCTGTTTATACACACTGCAAACACTTTCTCTCCCCGTCTGTCACTTTTTAATGTCCTTTGCCATATAGAAAAATCAATTTTGATAATAGTCAATTTTATCCTTTATGATTTTGGATCTTGGGCTTACCTAAATGTCCTACCCAAAACACATATTTTCCATATATTTTCCTATGCAGTATATTCTCTTATTTTCTTCCAATACCTTTATAGGTGGGGTGTGTGTGTGTTCTGTTGTTGTTAGCTCTTTAATCCATCTAAAAGTTATTGTGAATACAGTGAAGTAGGGTCTTTACATTGATGGCTTCCCATCCAGGAACATGTTATGTCTGCCCATTATTTAGGCTGGCTTTTAAATCCTTTAGGTAAAGATTTTTACTGTTCTTCATAGAGCTTTTGTACATTTCTTGTATCTTATTCCTAAGTGTTTTCTACTTTTGTTGCCATTGAAAATGGAACATTACTTTTCTATAGGATTAATTATTCTTATTACTAGTGAGATTAAACATCTTTTCAAATGTTTATCCAGCTATGTCTA